ATCCTTACCCTAAAGTGCTGATTTGCAGTAGTGGGGTTATTGGTGCCCAGCAGAATCTACAGCTGGTGCTCGTGTATAAATTCAGTGTCGGTGCTTTAGCAGGCAGGATGGGCCTGGCTGCACTGCTCTTACCACCAAACTCTGCAATGGAATTGGGGTAAACTTTAGGAGGAGGCTTCCTCACTAGGTTGGACTGAGCTAAGATTCATGTTACAGGGTTGCAAAGAAGGTAATTGAATATTGATAATTGAATAAGAACAAATCAGCTGAGAAAAGGAAGTTCAGGTGTTGCCACTTCATTCACATTGTGAGAATTTGTTTAAAAAAGTCATGCATGAATTGCTTGCCATATGTAAGTATGTGCTTCATACATATGTGTAAAATTGGCATTGCTTTTGCTTTGTGCTCCTGTCAGACTAGGACTGGCTGTGTTTGTGAGCCTTGTAGTTGTACTGTACTGCTCCCAGAAATCCTTTTGGCCTTTGGGTGTTTGGAATGGATTTGTAGCTGTCTGTCTGGTATATCCCAAGGTTGCTGCTAGAGATACAAATGATTTCCAAATAACTGTATCCTAGTCAAGAGGAGTTGAGCATTCATGCCTTTAATGTCAGGGAATGAAAACAGCATGAGTCCATCCAGTGTTGAAATGAGATCTCATTTACTCTTGCTTCAGTTGCAGCATAAAATGTACTGTTTTGTGAGATAGGTTTCTTAATGATGTAATGAAGAATTTTGTGTCATTTCAGTGACTTTCATCAAAAAAGGAATTAATTTCCCTATCTGAAGAGGGTCACGTGCTAGCTCAAAAAACCAAATAGTCAGCTGCACATATAATTGAATGTGTTACCTTTCCTATCTCATTGAAATTAACACTTTTAAATTAAGTCATCAGAAATTCTTCACTAAAATAACAGGCACAGTTGTAAGGAGAAGAGTACCACAGTTACAAAGAAAAGTAATTCAATAGACTGATAAATCTTCAGTTCAAAATTGGGTGTTGAAAGTACAGTGTGAAAAATGATGGTGACCTTGTGTGTAATTGATTTCAGGGTGATCCTGTTGACCACACAGGTTCTATGGGAGAGTTTGTTATATGGGTTTTTTTCCTACTTTGAAGTAATTATTATATGTATTATATAATAATACATTATATATAATATAATAATATGATACTATATATTAATAATTATATTATTGTATATTATATAATAATATATATTATTATAATATATAATAATAAGTATTATTATATCAGTGAGACCCTCTAGCCCTAAAAGCTTGATTTCAAAAGACAAACTCAATGATTTAGTGCAGGTGATAGTTACAACATTCTTTTCGTGATCGGTTCTCAGCTAATTTGATTCTTTGCCTGCTGTGATGGTAAAATACATAACGAGGTAACAGTCAATGTCAATACAGTTAAATATTCCATATTTCACTTTTTTATTTAGTGCTGAACAGACATTCTTATCTTTCCCCACACCATGTAGACTCACACAGGAGAAAAAGAGAAGATTTGTCCCTATTGTGGACAGAAGTTTGCAAGCAATGGAACACTGAGAGTTCATATTCGAAGCCATACAGGTATTTATTATAATGAACAGAGAAGACTTTCTAAATCTGTAGCAAGGTATCTCTATGTCCACAATTTATCTATCTACAAACAGCCAAATTTACAGATAGGTTTAACACAGCTTCTTTGTCAGACATTTTCCCTGCTTAATGTGTAAAAGCTGTTGTTGTCAAGGTTTCATTTTGCAAGTTTACACTTTGGTTCAAATAAGTGGCATCAGGCAGCTGAAAGAGGTTTCTTTGTGATAATTTGTTTCCAGCATAAAATGGTGTAAATTTGACTTTGGCATGACATTTTCTTCCCTCTGCAGAACCAAGTTTGCCTTGCAGGGAGGTGACAGTAATTT